CAAATTACAACCTAGCATACAAAATACAATTTTGAACCTATAAACTTAAGTAACCTGAAGGCAGTTGACTTTTGCCAATCTTAAATGAAATCAAAAGAGAATTTGACACTAAAGACATGGCAAAATATGTTATAATGAAACAAATTAACTTAATAAAAATGTTAAAGTAATGTACAATCAATAGATCTACACCTAAACACAAAAATACAAAGATTTTACATCCACTAAATACACTAAATAATGTACAATCAATAGATTCACACTTAAAACAGGAATACAGGGATTTTACATCAACCTGATACAATAAATTAACTAATTACAAGTATTTTTATTAAACTACCACCATTTTTATTTAGTATGACAGGGATATTAGTAGCTCAACTACTTATAATCAATTCAAGACATGTATTAAATGGAGTACATTTTGTTACACATTGTGTTACATGAGTCCATTGCAACTCCTCACACTAAAATCAACTAACATAAGGACTACCCAATTCCTCCTGATTTTGATTCAGATTTGTAGGGAGTATTACACTATATTTATCATAAACTATGTTGTAATGAGACAAACTAACACAAGAAAAGCCTTAAAACAACCTACAAACAACCAACAATCAGTAAATTAACCCTTTAAGGTTAGAAAGTATAGAAATTTGTACCTTGAGTTGATATATATCAAATCAATCATTATTAATAAATATTATTATTAAATTACTTCAACATTTGTTATTTATGATGAGATGAAAAAGATATTTAGTCATACTCCTCATAATTAACCAAATAAATGTAAAATTTATAAAATGTTTTTTGGGAATTTGCCTCCATTTTTCTGTTAGCAAAACGTTTTTGCAAATGAAATACAAGTCTTAAAATGAAGTCACTTACCTGTAATTATTCTATGCAGTAATGCATCTTCTAAGGTTTTTTACTGCTGACGCTTCCTTTTGTCACACGATGCCATACATTTTTAAAATTTAAACTTAAAATAATTATAATTATCACTAATTATTATAAAAAACTAATTACATCACAATAAACTAAACTAAATAACGAAACTATTGATACATAATTTATAACTAAACTGTTAAATAAAACTATTAATAATTAATAAAATAAATCGACATGACGTAAACGCGTCACCGGTCATGTCGACCGTTGCACACCCGCGCCCTCTCTCTCATTATAATTATATTATGTAAATTTAGTCATGATTGTTTTAGAAAGTTTTCTCACACCTTGCGTAATTTTTTTTTTTTTTTTTAATAAACTTATTAAAACATTTTATTTAATAAATTAATAATAGAAGAAAAAAAACCTGTGAGAAATTAACTTCTCGTTTATTCTAGTTTATTTATTTATATTATAATTATTATCATTATCTTCCCTTGTTTATAGTCTATTAGCGTTTTGAAACTAATCGTAACGTGTAAGAAATAGGAAGTGAGAGAGAGAGGCAGAGGCAGAGAGGCGATGAAAATAAGAGAGCAAAAGACTGACAATGAGAAAGAAATAGAGCAAAGTACAGATGACTAGAAAGAGAGAAATGAGAGAGAGAGAAGAAATGAGAAAGATGGTAAGAGTGAGAGAGAGAGAGAGAGAGAGAGAAAGAAAGAGGCACAGAGATGATAATAAACAGAGAGAGAGAAAGAGTAGAGAAGATGAGATTGAGAGAGAGAAAAAAAGAGAGACTTTGAGAATGAATGAGAATGAAAGATAGGCTATGAGAAAGAGAGAGAGAGAGAGGGTGAGAATGAGAGAGCGAGAGATGGACAATGAGAAAGAGATAGAGCGAGATATAGCTGACTAGAAAGAGAGAAATACAGAGAGGATGACATAGAGAGAGAGAAAGATGGTAAGAATGAGAGAGAGGAAGAGAGAGATGGTGAAAATGAGAGAGAGAGAAGTAGTAATTTTTTTTTCTTTTTCTAATAGTCCGTAATAAAAGTGAAACAGAAAAAAAAAAATTTTCATTAACAAAAATTTAATTATTAAAAACGTGTTAAAAATCATTCACTCTTTTTTTTTCGCTCTTTCTCTCACTCTCTCTCTCTCTTTCTCACTCTCTCACTTCTACTCTCTCTCTCTCTCTCTCTCTCATTTTGAATAAAAATTTACCATTAACGATTAGACAAAATGTAAAAAATAAATTGAATGAATAATTTTGCTTTTTCGAAAGTTTTAAAATTAACGTATGGAAAAAAAGACGCGCATTCAACGATCGATGCACAAATCGACAACGATGACGATGATGATGATAATGATAATGATGATGAACGTGATAATAATCGATTTGAATCGTATAAAAATACGTATTTAGGTTATGTGACGAAGTACAGGTTCGGTGACCTCATAGGACAAAAAAAAAAATTACACTAGATTAAAAAACGTTTATTGAATTTCTATTGTGCGATTTGTGTGTGTGTGTGTGCGTGTAAAAGTGCGTGAGTGCGCGTGAAACGCCTTAAAAAAAAAAAAAAACGAAAAAATTTATTCATTCACTCCTTAAAAAAAAAAAAAAAAAAATGTAAAATATTTTAATTCTGGGTCACGATACTTTATTATTATTATTATTATTATTATTAAATTGAGCGTAAGATAAAATTTTACGGTTTCAATTTTTTTTTTTTTTTTTCCTTTCATAAATTTAAAATTTATCGGAAAAATTTTAATGTGGAAATAGAATTTGAAAAAAATAAAATTAAAAAAAAAAAAAATGAAGAAAGGAAGAGAGAAGGAAAAACAAAAAAAAAAAAATTTCGATTAAATATTAAAAATATTTTTTCCCTACATTTAAATTCTCTCTCTCTCTCTCTCTTGCTTTCCTTCTCTCTCTTTTGCTTCCTTCTCTCTCTTGTTTTTCTTCTCTCTTTCTCTCTCTCTCTCTTGCTTTCCTTCTCTCTCCTTCTCTCTATGTGTATGTGTGAGTGTGTGGGTCTCTGTCTCTCTCTCTCTCTCTCTCTCTCTCTCTTTCTCTTTCTCTCTCTATTAAAATATATTAAGAAAAAACAAAAAACAAAAAACAAAAAACAAAATAGAAAATTTTACAAAGACGACGACGACAACAACGAAGATTCTAAGAAATTTTAGAAACTTTTCCTGATGAGCAAAGGAAATTAGAAAGAAAGAGAGAGAGAGAGATTTGAATTTTTAACAAATTACGGAAATTAAAAATCCCCCCCCCTCTAACTCTCTCTCTCTCTCTTCCTTTCTTTCTTTTAGTCTCTCTACTTGTTTTTCATTTTCCCTTTGCACTCCTCCACCACCGAATTTTTTTTTTTAATTATTTCAAAAAAAATTATTTTATATTCATTGAATTGATTTGTTTTTCAATATGACCTTTGACCCGCTTTTCAAATGTTGTCTTACCTATTATTATTATTATTATTATTATTATAAAAAAAAAAACAAAACAAAATGAATTTAAATTAAATAAGAAAACTAACCGATTTACATCCGGACATTTTCCTTAATTAACACTTTCTATCATCATCATTATTATTATAAATAACATTATTATTATTATTATTATTACTTTAAAATGGCGAGAATTACATGTGGGAGAAGAACAAAAAAAAAAAAAAAAAAAAAAATATTTAAAATGTCTAATGCCACGAAAAAATCAACCGAACGTCATCGTCATCATCATCGTCATTATTATCATCATCATCATAATCGACATCCGAACAAGGAAAAAAAAAAAAAAAATTTTTTTTTTTATTCCCAACTTCCTTTGACAAAGTTCAACGAGAAGGTAAATTATTACAAATTGGAATTACACGACAACAAACAACAAACAACGACGAAGAGGACGACGGATTAATTATTATTATTATTATTTATAATTGTCATCGATCAATCGAGAATAAAAAAAAAATTAAATTAAGGATTAGTTTTAAACAAACGGTATAAACAAACAATATTTATTATCATCATCATCATCATCACCTTGCATTTTTTTATTAATAATAATAATAATAAATTTAATTATTATTTTATTGTTTGCGATTATCATCATTATTATTATTATTTGTTTATTAAGTCTTTAACATTTAGTTGTATTATTATTATTATTATTTTATGTACTTGACGATAACGTATCACTGATCCAAATTAACTTGGATAATAATTTTATCATTTGTAAATACTTAATCGGTAAATTTATTATTTGTCGTCAACGAAGATAAAAAAAAAATTTTTTTCAAAACAAACAAATTCAAACAAACAAACAAACAAACAAACAAACAAACAACGACGACGACGACGACGAGTATGCAATGACTTTGCATTAAAATAAAAATGATGTTGCAAAGTTCAAAACGAGAGGGTTTCTGACCCCTCCTCTCCCTTCCCTCCCTCCATACTCCCTCATTCCAACCCCCTCCCAACCCCTCCCCTCCCCGCAACCATCCGACAAAATCATCATACGTCATTCAATGACGTCACAAAACATTTTAATTCATTTGTTTCGTTCTTTAATAAAAACGACGGTTACTAAAAAATTAATTATTTAATTAATTTATTTAAATATGATGATGATGATGATGATGATGATGATAATGATAATAATAATAATAATAATAATAATAATCGATATTTATAGCGTCTCACACATACACATGCGATTAATGTTTAACTTTCGAAGGGTTAATACATGTATAAGAAACGATTCCATTTTATTTCATTTTTTTTTTCTTCTGCTTTTATTTATTTTTGTTGTTGTTGTTGTTCGGGGGGCGAGGGGAGGGGTCGATAATGATAATAATAAAGTAAAGTAAAGTAAAGTTTTTTTTTTGATTTCTTTTAAAAAATAATTTTCTCGTTTTACAATCGTAAAAAATTAATAAGAAAATTTTTTAGAAATCATCACGTTAATAGAAATAATAATAATAATAATAATAATTGTAGTAACGACAATAACAACAACAACAACAACAAGAGTAACAATAATAATAATGATGATATATATCATTTTAATTTTTTAAATCCCGGTAAAATTTTCAATAAGTTTTGTAATATGGATTTTGAGAGTTGAATTTTTGAGATGAAAAAGTAACCGGCCTGTAGTAATCTAAATCGTTTTTCCAACCCCTCGGTGCCGTGTTGTAATTATTCAATGAACTAAAGTCCCACGTTCTGAAAATATAATAATAATAATGACACGTTCATCAACGACGTTCGTCAAAACCAAAAACAATAATAATAATAATTTTTTGTTTTTTTCCCGTACTTTGGCTGATGTTGACTAGCGTGCTGCACGTAACCGTCCATCGAATTGGGTAATGAATGAGGTTCAACGATTGTCGGGATTTGTGGTAAATTGTCGTACACACCTGAAAACCGTAAACAAAAACAAAAAAAATCGTTTTACGATTAATCGAAATCGAAATCGAAATCGTATCGTTCATACACATTCCTCAAAACAAACAAACGAAAGAAAAAAGCCTATGCAATATTCAAAACGGGCATGTATTAATAATTGCATAAACAAAATTTTTAAGGGTTTTTTTTAAAAAAGATTACCGATAGCATTGTTAATCCGCGTAAATCTTATAATCCGGTCGAACGCTTAATAATACTTAATCCGCAATTGTATTAATTAAAAGGTTTTGAGGGGGGGGGGTAGAAAAACCTTTTCGAATATACTACTTCCGGTTTGAAAAAAAATAGGAAAAAACTCACCGTACGAATCATTGTAAGAAGATGACGACGTCCATCCTTTTGGTATGTTCGGCATGTACAAATCATTTTTATAATCTCTGAATTTGATTGGATTTGATTTAGCCAAGGGTTTCCTGTTGTTTTCGCTTATTTTATCAATCCAGGGCATTTGAGTTGAAGGATAAGAAAAATTTAATTCTTGAAAAGCTGTGTCGACGGAACCCGTTTCCAAAGCGGCTTCCCATGGCGATTTAACTAATTTCAATTTTGGTTGTCCGAATCGTTCCTGAAATAAATTTGAAATTGATTGACGTCATCAACAACCATATTTGTTAAACGTTAAATATGGTGGCGAGTGATAAGAGCGATTAACACCACCACCGCGTCCGGGATCAGAGAACGAGAGAGTGAGAGAGAGAAAGAAAATAACCTGCAAAGCATGAATTTTTTGCATTTGTTCTTCTCTTTTCATATTGTTTTGTTTCATTGTTTTTTCCGTGTTCGATTCAAAAGTTTGTTGTCCTCCTCCTCCTCCTCTAACAATCGACGGATTTCTTTGTCTCACTGTATTTTCATCAACGATCCATTTTTCCGATTTCTTTCGTCTTTTTGCAAAAAGTTCAGCTCCTGTTTACAAAACAAACAAAAATTCACCGTTTTTTTTTTTTTACTGTTTGTCGTTGTTTTTCGGTCGATTTCAAAACCTTTGTTTTCATTGCAAACCTTTTCCTTTTGTCGTTGTTAAATCTTTAACCAAATCGAAACACATTTCCGGTGAAAGAGGAGATGAATTTAAAACGATCCCTTGTTTTGTAAGACTTTTCAAATCTTGTACTTTTCCCTGCGGATTCATAAGTAATTTGATTTTATCCTTTGACGATGATTCGCTATTTGAATATTTACATGTAAAATCATCGTTCCCGTACGAGCTCTCAATATTTTCATTTTGACCTTCCCCTGAAAATAAAAATAAATTATTCCCACGTATAAACAACAAACGACAAAAACAACCGCAACAACCACAATTATCATTAAGTAAAAACGGTTAATCATTATTTCGTTTTTTCACACTTTCCCTTAATTTTTTTTACCCGACTTTACATAAGAAAATAATAATAATGATAATTTATAAGTTCTGCCAACGTAACAAACAAACAAACGAACGAGCGAAAAAAAAATCATAACGAGTGATGACGTTTTTTTTTTTTTTTTTTTTTTTTTTTTTTTCAAATCCGATATAATTTATTTTCGTTTTAAAAATAACCAAAGGGAATGAAAAAAAATTTTTTTTTCTCTCTCTTTTTCATTATTTTCCAATCGACCTTCCGACATTTGCCAGTTTTATTATTATTATTATTATCATGCTGAAACATAAAAAAAAAAAAAAACGCGCGTGTGCGTACGGAAAATTTTATAATAACGTCTCGGATTATATACTTTAACTCACAAATTAATTTTACGATTTAATTTTCTTTTTCTTCTTCATCTTCTTCTTATATTTTCACCGACAAAAAATTTATTATTATTATTATCATTATCATCATTATCATCATCATCATCGGTTAATTAAACTTGGAAAAATTTGCCAAATCTTATTAAAAAAAAAAAAAAAAATTGGATTCGAAAGTGAAAAAATGTTTAATTCGTATCGTTTAAATTAAATACAACACGATTACTTAATTATTATTATCATTATTATTATTATTTTTTCAGGTTAAAACGCGAACGCACCAACGCACGCACTAACACACGAACGCACTTACACGCACGAATTTGAAAATCGAATACGAATTGTAAAAAAAAAAAATTACGGCGACTGGATTTGAACGGATCAATTTCATTAAAAATTTTCCCGGGCGAACGGAAACGAAAAAGAACCGGAAATGCAATTTGATACCCAAAACCAAAAGCCAAAAGAAAATTTTTTTATATTTTTACTACAAACCTCCGTGAACCCATTTGACTGAACGTTTCATTCTGTTCACATACATCGATTGTCCTTTCGATTGTTTGTTCGATATATCGGAAAGCGAACTGGAAATCCTACGTGCGAGTTCGATTTGATCCTGTACGGTCGGATGTATGGGAGAATAAAAACTCGATGACGCATACATTTTTTCTGAAATGAAAAAAGAAACAAAACAATAATAATAATAATAATGATAATTGTTAAATAAAAGCAGACGATTCCGATTTCTTATTAGTAATATTCCCCTTCGTTATGAAAATTTCTTTGATGGAAAACAAAAAAAAAAAATGGCCGCGTTTTCCGACTGAAAATACGCGCGAAACAAATCCGACCGGAAGCGATGACGTCATAAGAATCGAAAAAAAAAAAAAAACAAAATGGCTCCTTACTGTTTCTTGGAGTTATTTCTCCAGAATCCGTTGCTGGCGTGAAAAGTTTTTCCAAATCGATCGGTTTATTATCACTTCCCATATTTTCATCCTGGAAGAAAAAAAAAAACGGAAACAATTAAAGAATTAATGAAAAACTGGAAAATTCTATCGTGGCAATAAACAAAAACAAACGCGTCAAACAAACGAATTAATGATAATAATAATAATGATTACTTGTCTATAATAATAATATTTAACGGGTTCGGTTGATTTATCAAAACAGGATAATACATTTTCTTCCTGGATCGTCGTCAAAGGATCGCCGCCGGAAATCATATCCCCCCTCATTATTATTTCCTTTTAATTAATTTAACCAAACCGAAACCGAAAAAAAAAACTATCGTGGAAAAAGAAAAAAAAAATAATTGTAAGTTAAACAAACAATTAGTCGTTCATTATTTTTCCGAACACAACAAACAACCGACGGTTCCGGAAAATCCAAAAAAAAAAAAAAATTTAATTACGTCGAAACCAAACTCCCCATTCCTCGCGCTGAACAAAAAAAAAAAAAAAAAAAAAAAAATTAATACAACGCTGGACAAACAACCGTCGGTTAATAATTTAAAAAAAAAAAAAAAAAACGAACAAACAACAAACGAATTTCCCGGGGAGGGAAAAAAAAACCGAAAAAAAAATTTTTTTTTTTGTAGCCGACGTGGGACGCGAACAAACGCGAAATTTTTTTTCTTTTTTTTTTACTCCGCTAAAAATTATTATTATTATTATTATTATTATTATTTAAAATTCTAAAAAGAAAAAAAAAAAAAGAAAATCGATATTATTGATTAACCGTTTCAACGACTAAAATAATAATAATAATAAATAAAACGTTTTTTAAAAAAAAAATTTTTTTTTTTTGGCACAAACAAAATGGCGAAACGAGAGAGAGAGAAAGAAAAACGAAAAAGTTTTTTTTTTCCTCTAGTCGAAATTAATATCCCGTGTAAACTTAATAAAATAATAATAATAATAATAGTAAGAGAAAACAACAAACAACCATCGAACGCGAAAACAAAAATTAAACTAAATTTATTATTTAATGTTAAATTTTTTTTATACGTATGAAGATGCCAACAAACCGCAAGAAACAAACAGAAAAATAAAAAATAAAAAAGAATTTCGAAAAGATGGAGCATACAAACAAACAAACAAACAAACTTTCAACAAATTATTATTATTATTATTATTATTATCATTGAATGGTTGGGAGGAGACAATTGTTCTTACTGCTTTTTTTTTTAATGGCGAGAAAAAATTCGTCGTTGTCGGATGGTAGAAACGGAAGTGGAAGAAGAAGAAGAAGAAGGGGGAGGAGAAGTGGAGGAAGAAAAAAAAAATTTTTTTATGGGAGTTGGTTGGGAAATGGTGGGGGCCATTAAAAAAAATTTTTAAGTGTCTATATTATTATTATTATTTTTTTTTGTAAAGGAATTTTCCGTTTGATTGTTTGTTTGTTTAGTTTGCCGACGGGTGAGGAGGAGAGAAGAGAATTTTATAATTTTTAAATTTTCGCGCCTTTTTTTTGATTTTTCTTTTATTCCTTAATTTTACACCCCTCCCCACATGTAAAATAAAAAAATTTTTTGTAAGAGTTGGGGGAGGGGGATGAGCAGAAAGCGAGGATAATTACGATGAAAAAACGTTGTTCCCTTTATTCAACCTTTTAAAATTGACCCCCCCCCTGCCCTACACACCCTCTCTTCCCCCATTTAAAAAGATCGACGCGTTCGATAATGAAAGAAAAATTTTTGCTTTCGTTTTAATTGAAAAGCTTTTTAACGAATAATAATAATGATAATTTGAAATGTGTTTTACCCGTCCCCCCTCAAGTTCCTCTTCCTCTCTCATCTCCTTTTACGCCAGATTTCCACTTTTATCAGCGATAATACCCCTCCTCCCCCCTCTCTCTGTTCCCTTTGGTTTTTTTTAATGATTGATCACCGTTTCAAAGGTCATTGAACTCATTAAATTTAAATGGAAAATTTTTTTTCTTTTTTTTTTTTTGGTTTCATTTATTTATTTCTGTTTTTTTCTTTTTTTCTTCCTCTTCTCTTAATCCAGTTTGACCTCCCCTCCCCTTTAACCTCCCTTATTCCCTCTTTTCTTTTTTTTTTTTACCTCATTAAGAGTATTTGTTATACTCGTTCTCAAATCGTTTTTATTTATTAAATCGGGTACTACTACATTTCTTCGGAAGCAAAAGTGGCAAGAGAAAAGTTAATTATCGAGAGATAAAAGTGGGATTAGAAAAAAAAATGGCGGTCAATATATGTATTGATGGATTAATAATTAAAAATTTTTTTTTTCTTTTTTTTTTTTGATGAAAGGATTTCGGGGTTGATTTGATTAACGGCCCCTCCCCCTCCTTCTCCGAATGAATGACAATCATTGCCATTTTAAAAATAATAATAATAATAATAATAATAATAATAATAATAATATTAATCGTGTCAAGATAGGTCGAGAAAGATTCAAAAAAGAATTTTGTCAATAAAATTAAAAAGTTTGCTTATTTTTTTTTTGGAAAATTTTTATGAAAAAGCATCAAAAGATTCCAGGAGGCGAAAAATCCCGCGTACCTGAAAAATCCCGGTAATGATAATAATAATAATAGTTTTGATTTTCAATATGGCGACCGTTCAATTTCGGTATCTTACAGCTTTACCACCATAAAAAAACACTTACAGACTTACTTGGGATTAGAACAACGAGCGAAAGTTGGTATTTTATATTTTAACGTGGGATTAGAAAAAGATAAAAAAATGGATAGATAAACGTTGGGAGAAAAAAAAATAAAACGTTTTACAAAATCCAACAATTAATAATTTCTGACACAGAAACGAAAAAAAAAAAAAACTTTTTTGCCAGAGATTCGAATAAAAATTTTTTTCGTTTTTTTTTTTTTTTTTTTATCAACAGCCGAACATCTACTTCCGCTCAAAAAAAAAAAAAAAAACTTTTTTAATTTTGTTGCCAAATTAACAAAAAAAAAAAAATAATTAAAAAAAATTTTTTTTTTTTTTTTTTTTTAAAACGGCCAGTTGGGTAATCCGTTTCGGTTCCGTTCATGATTGGGATTCCCCCCAAAAACAAACGAAACATTTGTTTGTTTGTTGTTAAATTTAATTTTCTATACAAATGCAAACGGTTTAAACAACAACAACAACACCTGCCATTTTTTATAATTAATATCATTTCCGGTACGAAAATATTGTTTTCCGGAAACGGAGAAAAAAAATTTAAAATTACCGAAAAAATTTTTTTTTTATTATTTTCAATTATTCCATGCCGTCGTAAAATTAAATTCGTTTTTTTTGTCGTGGCACCAGCCATTACTTAAAAATAATTTTATTAATTTGATCGTTTTCGTTAAAATATTTCAAATAAAAATAAAAAATCACTCGTCAATCGTCGCGAGTTTGCAATATTTAACTGTCATCTTGCAAAAAAAAAAATTAAAAAAGATAATGCCACGACGATAACTATTATTATTATTATTATTACTATTAAATTTTTGGCATGGATTTATAATTTTTTTTTTCTTTTTTCCAACGAGTAAAAATAATTTTTTTTTTTTTTTAAATAAAACCCTTAATTATCATCCGATTGTGATCTTTCACTTTAAATTTCGGTTATAAACGTGTAATTAGAATTAAACGAAAAAAAATCATTTCGATCGAACGTTTTCGTTATTTTGTAACTTGCAATTAAAATTTTTTTCTTTTTTTTTTTTACTTTTCTTTCTACAAAATTTTTTTTCTATCGTATGACGTAGAAAAAAAAAAGAAGTACGGATTCGATTGAAATTTTTATAGTGCCACGACTGTTTCTTTCTTTTTTTTGTTATAAATCCGAAAAACGTTTCTACCTCTCTCTCTCTCTCTCTTTCGAAAAACAAAAAATTAATATCAATTTTTTCAAGATTTGATTTAAAAAAAACGAATGATCAAAAAATGACTGAATGATTGATTGAATGATTGATTGACTGACTGATTTAGAAATTTACACGACACGAAATTTACATAATCAAAAAAAAACGTGGAAATATTTAAGGCCCTAAAATTCCCTTACGAAAACAATTAAAAAAAAAAAAAGTGGAAACAGATTAGCAACGCGTAATTCTTAAATATATACATACGTATTTAAAATAATGTTTAAAACTAGATACGCCACTGATTTGAATTCAAAAACGCCTCTTCAAATATATAATTTTAGACATTTTGATTGTTTACAAGAAGTGCCAACACAACAGAAAAAAAAAAAGAAAAAAAAATGAGAGAAGAGAAAAATTTTACTCAATAACTTACCGATCCGATTCGCCAGATTTTTTCCGTTAAAGCCGTTAAAAATTTTTTTTTCCTTTCGTCGTGCCTGTCGGAAGGTTTAAAACCACGACCGTAATCGATAATTCCACTTTCGCTCGCGCTTTTTTGTACGGGAAAATTAAAATCGTAATTTAATTTTTCAAATTTTTTAACGAATGCGTTCACCGTTCCCGTGCTCTGACTCGTACTCAAATTCATTTTTTTCTCTTTTCTATTTTCTCTCTGTTTTTTTTTTTTTCGACAGCAATAATAATAATAATAGTAATAATTTACGAAGGAGAAAATTCCGTACTTCCTCCGAAAGTGAGGGGAGAGAGAGAGAGGGGGGCAAATTTTTTTTTTTTTTACGTCATCAAAAAATAAAATCGATTCGATCGAAATTCTTGTTCGCTGATTTCTCGGATTTTCTTTTTTATTAAAATTTTAATATTATTATTATTATTATTATTATTATTATTATTACGAAATGAAGATGATTAAACTATAAAGAAAAAAAAAAATGACGTCACGACAAACATCGAATCCATCGAGATAGTGACACGAAGAAAAGAGAAAAGAGCGCGCAAAAGTGTCAAAAAAAAAATCATCATCATCTTAAAATCATTTTGGAAATGAATGAAAAATACGACAAAAAAAAAATGTCGCGGATGCGTTAAAAAGACATTTTATAGCGAACGTTTAAAATCAAAAAGAGAAACGCGAGAAAAAAAAAAGTTTCGAAACAATTTAAAATGTTTTTCGAAACTGTCATTAATTTTTCTGTCGGTTCGTTTGAAAAAAATTTGCCCCCATTTTCGATATATATATATATATTATTAGTATTATTATTATTTTTTAAAATCACGTTCGTGACAGATATGCGACCGTCAAAATAAAAAAAACGCGTTCGATTATTATTATTATTAATAAAAAATGGCGACGACGACGACGACGATGGAATTATATTTAAACATTCGCAAACCTTTTCGAAATCCGTTCGATACGGTTAATAAATTTAAACCAAAACGAAAAATTAATGATAATAATGATGATGATGGAAAAACGAACGTAAAATTTTATATATCTCCGAACGCGATGCGTATTAATAATAATAATAATAATAATAATAATAATAATAATAATAGAAACAATGAAACACACAACGGTAATAAAAATAAATAAATAAATAAAATAAATAAATTTTTATTATTATTACTCTCTCTCACCACTAGTAAGAAATTTTCTTTTTTTTATTACGCGAGTAATTAATTACGTTAAGTCAACCGACTAAAGAACTAAAAAGAAAATCTTTTTAAAAAGGGGGTCTCTCCCCACGAAAAACAAAAAAAAAAAAAAAAAGAAAGAAAGAAAAATTTCAAAGTCAAAAGTACGAAATCGTAAAAATAAAAAAAAATAAAAAAAAAAATTACGTGCGTACGTGCGTGCGTGCGTAAACGAGTGCGTGTGTGCGGATAATAGAAAAAGAAAAAAACCTTTTGAACCTTAGAAAAAAGGTTTTCGCATTTAAAACAAACGGGTTACATGCGAAATCTTATAAATAAAAACGAACGTGAGGTCTTTGTTGTTAAAATTCTTTTTTTTTTTTTTTTTTGGATTTTTGCCCGTGGAAGAAGAAGAAGTTAATGAGAGAATGAAATAGCAGAAGACATTTTGTTTTTTTTTTTTTTTTTAAATCGCGATTTTAAATAAACGAAGGGCGAAATTTAAACAAAAAAAAATCATTATTATTATTATTATTTTGAGCGGAGGAAGAGAGAGGGTCAAGTGCATTAATTTTTTTATTCTGGTGCCACGTCCGTAATAAAATATATATACGTATAAATAATTTAATCAATGTAAAAATTGAATCGTGCGAATTTTTTATATTATTATTATTATTAATGGAGTTTTTTGCATTTTTCTTACTCTCTCTCTCTGTCTCCCCCCCCCCTTCCCGGGTATATCATCATTATTATTTCGCGTCGTTTTTATTGATCCGAATAATTTCGCGTAACCAATAAATTTTAAACGAACGTTTTATAACTTTTTAATAAATCTCATTTACCCCACCCCCCCATCTCTAACTCTCTCTTTCTCTTATTGTTTATGTTTATACCCTCTCTCTCTCTCTCTCTCTTTCGTGGCGTTATTAAAAATTTCGATGCGTTCGATCGTAAAAAAATTAATTGTTAATTCTGACAGGTTTCGTGCGTTTTGTTGTTTTAATGCGTCGTTTGTTGTAATTGAAGAATTTCAGGTGTGAACCTAAAACACTTCCTTCCAATAGATAAGACAAGTAAGAGGTCACGGTGAGAAGATTTGGAACCCTTAATGCTCATTTTTTCACAAGTGGATTTAAATTAGTGGGGATCCATCAAATACGGGTAAAGCTGGTGGTAGTAGCCCAGAGGGAAAAATTACGCGCGTATTTTCATTGTTTGTCTGATGGATAAAATAATTAAAAATGAAAAAATTGACTTACATTTATCGTGGGTTTAGAATCCTTTAAATTTTCATCATTTTTATCTGATCCGGACATTTTGTTTAATTCTTGTGCGATCTGTAAAAAAAAAAAAAAAAGTAAAAAAAAAAATTAAATTGGAAATTTTCCGTTATTTATTTCCACGATTTTTTCTGCTGCCACCCCCTATCTCCCTTTTCTATGTCTGCCTACCTATCTGTATATTTTTCCTTTATTTCTCTCTCACTCTTTGTGTTAGCCTGTCTGTCTATTTTTGTCTCTCTCTCTCTTTCTCATTCTTTCCCTGCCTGCCTGCCTGTCTGTCGTTTTCTCATTTTCTCTTTCTTTTCATCTGCTACTTTGTCTCTTTCTGTGTTTGTCTGTCTGTCTATTTTGTCTCTCTCTCTTTCTCCCCTTATCACTGTTTGTGTTTTTTTACCTGAGTATTTTTGTCTCTCTCCGCCTGACTGTTTGACTCCCTCTTTCTTTCCACATGTTTCTTTGTCTCTTTTTGTGATTGCCTGTCTGTTAACTCTCTTGCTTTATGTTCCTTTATCTGTCTATTTTTGTCTTTTTCTCTCTCACTTTCTTTCTCTGCTTGTCTGTCTGTCTTTCTTTCATTTTCTCTTTCTCTATGTTCCTTTGTCTGTCTGTTCGTTCGTTTTATTTGTCAATTTTTACTCCCTTTTCTTTTCTCCCTGCCTGTTTAATCTGTTCTCTTTCACTCTCTCTCTTTTTCCTACTACTTCTGCTTCCCAATACTTTTCCCAAATAAAAATTAATTATTTTTGTACTCACTCTAACACTTTGTAAAAGATGCATTAAATTTCCCGGTGGTAAGGATTCAGGTCTTTTAGCTTTTAAATTTTTCGGAAGATTATCATTGAGGACGTCGTAAACATTCTGGAAAGAAAAAAAACAAAAAAAAAATTAACGAATCGACAACCTCTCCCTATTCTACCCCCTACCCCCCACAAAAAAAACAGCAACAAACAACAAACGCAAGTAAAAAAAAAAAATGAAAATCAATTACTTTGTAGTTACGTTCTTGTAATCTTTTAACAAATTCATCTTCCAGGCTGGAAGTTGACGTGGTTCTTGTTACATAAGTTTTATTAAATCTTTCTTCTTCCTTTTTCAATTCTTCCAATTCTTTATTCAATTCATTCATTTCCGTTTCGATTAAATTTTCTTTTTTTTCATCACAAATAAAATTTAAATTTTTCACTTCCGGTTCTGGAACGTCTATGTATTTATTAATAAGTTCCAATGCTTTAGAACTCGAACTTTTTTTCACATCGAACATATCATTCATTATTTTCATCTTTTCAACATTTTCACTATTATTCGATAAATTATTTCCTTCGAATGATTTTATTAATACGTCGACGCCATTTTGTTTTTCTTTTCCCTCCTCTTCCTCCTCCTTCTCTTCATACGTCATCACTTGTTTTCTATCAACGTTTTTTTCATTATTTTCATCCTAAATATATTTTTTTTTTTCAGGACTTTATAAACTTTTTTAAAATTTTTTTTAGTACATTATTATTATTATCATCATTTACGATTTTCATCAATCAATAATAATAATGATGATGATAATGATGATGATAATTACAAAAAAATTAAATTAAATAAAATCACAATACGAATTTTGGAAAATTTTACAAAAATAAAATTTTTAATTGTTTTTCCTGTCGGAAAAATTCAACGAACCAAATAATAATAATAATAAATAAATAAAAAAATGATATTAATAATAATAATTATAATAATAAAACCGAATAGAATGTTAATTAAGTGATTGTGAATGCTGTTGCTGTTGTTTTTATTGTTAGCTTATAAAAATTTAGCCAGCCCGTAAAATCGTTATTATTATTATTATTATTACTATTAAATTTTCAATGTCAAAAAAACCATATAAAATAAATAAAAACATTTTTTTTTCTACAGTTAACACAATAATAATAATAATAATAATAAATTAGTTAACGGATAAATAACGAAAAATTTTGCGTTAGTCAATAAATTATTATTATTATTATTATTATTGTAGTTTATTTTGTATGGATGGGAGCCGTTCGATTAAAATTTCAAAAAACGATGACGTCCGTTACGGATACCGTATGGTTATTATTATTAATATTATTATTATTATTATTATCATCATTAATTTTCTTTTTTTTTGCGACGAAATATGTTTCATCTCCCCGCATAAGTCACGAAACGAGTAAACGTGACGTCATTTATTAATATTATTATTATTAAAAATTACATATTTCGTTTTAAAAATGACCCTTGACCGAATTCGATTTTATTATTATTATTATTATTGTTATTATTTAAATAAATTTTGTTCGGTGACGTAACGACGGATTTAATTTAATTAATTTTTACCAACCGTTTGTTTGTTTGTTTGTTTTGTGTTTTTTTTATAATTGTGATCGCGAGTCGAAACTATTATGATAATAATAATAATAATAATGACAAAAGAAATTTCTACGTCATCGTCGTCAGATTTTCAAAAAAAAAAAAAAATAATAATAATAACAATAATAAGTGCAGCGAACAAAACAAAACGAAAAGAAAAGAAAGAAAAAAAAAATCGAAAATTTATTTAATTATTTAAACATTTCGAACCTTTTTTTTGTTTTAAATAATAATAATAATAATAATAAACATAAAAGCCAACAAAAGAAAACAAAATTCTTTTTTTGTATATAAATAATAACACAATAATAATAATAATAACAACAACAACAACAAGAATAAAATAAAAATCCGATCGAGTTTATTTTGTTCTTTGTTTGTTTTCCGTTTGTTTCAATTTAATTTTTTTTTTAACGAATAAAAACGCTACGATCGATGACGTATCGATGACGTATTTGACGTTTTTTTATGACGTAAGTGATGATATTTGCGTTACGAAAAATAAAACGAAAAATTTAAAAAAAAAAAAAAAAAAGAAAATGGATTCCCGGCAGCTTTTGGCGTCGTTTTTGTTTTTTTATTTAAAACAAAAACCGAAAATAAATTTATTTTTTAAAATATCGAATCGGTAAAACAAAAGAATCACACGTGTTTCCCACGTGTTCTTATCACCAACCGTAAAAAAACAAAATCGCAAAGTTTTAACAAACGCTCGATTTTTTTTCGGTAAAATTTATTCATTCATCGTCATCGTTATCCGTTTGTTGTTGTCGTTTGTACATGTAAAAAAAAAAAAAAAAATTTTTTTTTGTTTGTTTGATTGTTTGTTTGTTTAAAAAGGAAAAATTATATATATATTTAATAAAATAAAATGTGTAGTACACCAAAAAACTAACTAACTACTTTGTGAACACACCGGAAATAAAAAAAGAAAACAAAAATAAAATTAATAACAAATAATGCAGACGACGAAAAAAAAAGAAAAAGAAAAAACATTATTATTATTATTATTATTATAGATAGTGACGGCGGAGGTGGCGGTGGCGGAAGTGGTGGTGGTTAATAAATAAATACGTGCTAAACCAATAAAATAAATAAGGTAAAATAAAATAAAATAAAATAAACTCAAAAATTGATGGATTTAGTTTTGTTTTCTTCGAGAGATTCGATAGAAGCAGAAGACGATACGGATCTCGTTGAAGATTTCGTTGATACTACCTTGGAGGATGCAAATGATGTCGTCTGCATGACGGTTTTAACACCTCCCGTACCCGTTTTTTCAACCGTGTGAGCCGTTGCCTGACTTTGAAAACTCGCAGATTTTTCATTTATTTTCTTATTACCCTCTTCTCTGTTGGACTGCAACAAAAAAAAAAAAATTCGAATTTTAATTTTGGAGGTTAACACCCCCACCCCCACCCCCAACCAAATAATAATGATGATGATGACGAATAAAAACCTCGGATTGTGATGATTCCTGACTGAAAGATTCCTGATGTGAAACGAGTCCCTTTTTCTGTCCGTCCACCGTAGATGTCGCCACTTGCATTTCGGTTTTGCTTCAATAAAAAAAAAAATTAAATTAAATTAAATTAAATTTATAAAAAAATTTTTTTGGGTTTCCCCGGGGAGATCGTTTCCTTCCCCCTTCCCCATCCTCCTCCCCTCCCATCCCCCTATATTCCATGCTACCATCATATAACCGTAGAAAATTTGGCAACGATTCGACAAATGATGAGCTCGTTTGAAATAAAATTCATAAGCTAAATATAAATTTAAATAAAAATTTAATCGAAACGAGGGAGTGGGGGGGGCCGGGAGTTGTGGGAACTCAATACGAAAAAAAAAAAAAAACAAAATTAAAAAGCGGGGGGCGGGGGCGGGAAGAACAGGAGAGAGAGAGAGAGAGAGAGCTCGACGAAATATTTTTTTTCTCCTTTCAAAATGAATTTGCAACTTTTTTCTATCATTATCATCATCATCATCATTATTATTATCATTATTTTTTATTGTCTTTTCTTTTTCCCGGGGGGGGGGAGGAGGAGTCGAACGAATATAACAATACATATCTTTTTTTCGAACGTTATAAAATTACAATTTGAAAAATTTTGAAAATCGATCTTGGCTGGCAGACGATGTTCAGTCGACGTTTGAGAGAAACGTGGAAGGAGCCAAAAAAAATTTAAATTTCGCCGAGCGAAATAATTTAAACGTGTCACTAAGAAATTTTTTTAAGAGCAACAAATGGGTCAAAATATATATAATCTTTCTTTTTTTTTGTCTCGAACGCCCACGCTGTAAAAAAAATTTTCTTTTCTTTAACATCCGGTTGTTTTAACTGAAAACTTGTAAAAAAAAAAAAAAAAAAAAACATGGCGGCGAATTAATTTTCTTTATTATTATTATTATTATTATTATTATTATTATTATTATTATTATTATCATTTCTCGTATTTTAAAAATCGGGAAAATTTTGTAATTTTTAATTTTTTTTTTTTGCATTCTTCTTTTGTTTTTGTAAATGAATTGTTGAAAATTCAACAACGACAACAACAAACAACAAACAACAACATCTGTTCATCGTATTTTTTTTTTTTTTCTATTCATTTTTGTTCAGAAGAATTTTTAATTTAACCGGAAACAAATAAACTTTTGCCACGAGGCAAACAAACGCCCGAATCGAATCCGGGAGGGAAAAACACAAAAACCGTTTTTTTTTTCTTCCGAATTTTCCAGTGCATTTTCCACCCGCTCCCCCTCCCACAATTAATCACTACAACGTGTGCGGAAAAATTTCGCCCCCCTACCAATTGAAAATATTTACGACAATTTTTTCCTTTTAGAGAAAAAAAAAAAAAAAAAAACAAACGCAAAACAAAATTAAATCTTACCTCACTTCTTCCATTTTTTATTTTTATTTTTCTAGAATAAATATTAATAATAATAATAATAATTATAATAAATTAACTAATAATAATAATAATAATAATAAAAACAAAGACGAAACAAAAATTTTCTATTACGAAAAAAAAAAATTTTTTTCCTAAAAAATTTTGTTCTATTCTAATAAATAAATAAATAAATAATGAAAGTCAAAAAGTTTTTTTTTTTTACTTTTCGAATTTTCGTGTTGTTTTCGAAAAAATTTTTCGAAGAGCATGCGTAGAAAAATGTATCGGCGCAAGTGTTTCTCTTACATTTTTTTTTTTTTTTCTATTTCTATTTCTATTTCGAATCGAATCGACAGATGATAGAAACTTTACGAATTTTTTTTTTTTTTATTTAATGTAATTTTTTTTAGAATTTAATAAGAAAGAGTCGAGTCAGTCAATCAGTCAATCAATCAATCAATCAATCAATCAATCAATTTTTGTAAATTTTAAACGATATTATTATCACTTCCGTTTTTTTAAAATGTGTCTAACACCACTTTTTTTTTCCCCGGTTACTCGTTGATAACGTTTACCCAACGGGGGGAGGAAGAGAAGCGGGGAAGCGGGAAGCGGGGGAGAGATCAGATTGAAAAATGATCGTCGAAGGGTAAGAAAGGCAAGGATGGATCTTTCACCTTTAACCTCTTTTCCACCGGGTCAACGTCACGACGTGTCTTTACGGTCATTGAAATCTCAGAGTCGTGTCTTGAACGTTTTCACGGAGATTTTTTTTTTATAAATCGTGCGAAAAATTAAAAAAAAATTTTTTTGTTTAATTCATTCTAACTTTGAAAAAAAAAAAAAAAAAAGGACAACAACAGGAACGGGTCGGGAATTTTAAAAGGGGGGAATAGGAGGAAGGAGAAGGAAGAAGAAAAAGGGACTCTTGTTTGAAGAACAAAGACTTAAAAATAAATTTCGTGGCACGAGAGAGTTTAAATTTTTTTATTGCATTTAATGCATTTTTCACGCTTGTCTTCCTCCCTCCTCCTCCCCTCTAGTTTCTCTTCCTCCTCCTCCGTTTTATCCCCCCCCCCATTTTAACTTATTAATACATTTTACGATCCGTGACAGATTTTGTAAATATTTAGAAATGAAAGATAAGATAATAATAATAAAAAAAAAAAAAAACGGATAAAACGAACGGGGAGGAGATGAGGAGAGGGAGGAAGAGGAGGAAGAAAGAATTCGTAAACTTCCCTTTCGTCTTAGTCCCCAGCACTCCTCCGCTCCCTCAATCCCCGACAACAACAACAACAACAACACAAAAACAAAATTCGAGACAATAAATCATCATCATTATTATTATTATCTTTTATCGAGTTCTTTTTATTGCTGATTATTTTTTAACATTTTCGTAAAACAAGAAAAAAATGGCGTCGCGACGAAAAAATATTAAAAAAAAAAAAAAAACGTTCGAACGTGAAAAGATGAAACCAGGTGTGCCAAAATATAAATAAAAACGAACGGAAACGAAACATATGTTAGTTTAATAACATATAAACAATCGAACGTAAAAAAAAAAAAACAACTTTTATTATTATTATTATTATTAGAAAAAAAAATTTTCATTCCAGGAAAAAGAGTTTAAAACAAAATAAGATTTCCACGTAATAACAAACCACGAGTCCTTGTAAAAAGAAAAAAAAAAAACAAATCAAAAAAGCAAACAAGGAAACCAACAAACAAACAAAAAAAACAACCGAAAAACCTGATAAAACACAAAACAAAACAAACGTTTTCGCGTAATTGATTTTAAATTTATGACGTCACAGCAAGCAAAAGGTGTGCAAAAATTAAAACAAACGGAACGCATTCGTACGAACGAACACGTTCGTACAAACATTCGAAAGTTTGTACGGTTTGTTTGTTTGTCTGTTTTGTTATTGATAATTTTTAACCGTTCGAACGGTTGTTAGGTAAGATTTTACAAAAAAAAATTATTTTTAATATTATTCGATAGAAAGTCAAAAAAGGGCCGTCCGTGGAATATTCTAGAAATTTCAATTTAAAAAAAAAAACTCGATTAACGATAGATCGATAGATCGATCGATCTATCGTTAAATCGATCGAGTCCTACCTCAAAAAAAAAAAAAAAGCAAGACAACCTGAATTCGGGTTGCAATCGGGTCTTATATATGTTAGTACATTAGCGAACGCCAATTAGCACGTCGCAACTTTTTTTGTCGTTGTTTGTTTATTTTGTTTTTCCGACAAATGACATTTTCACGATCAGTCGTTCGTTGTCGTAGTCTTCCACAACGCGTAATTAATGACATAGAAAAAATTTTATCTTCTGCTAGCGTTAATAAACGGTAGGTAATAATAATACCGTTCGAGTCGTTTTTTAATTAAACAAACTAAAAATTAAAAAAAATTAACGCGAAAATTTTTTTTTTTTTATTCAGTCACTACTAGGATTTCCATTGTTTTTTCAAACTGAGTGATTTTCGAGCGCGATAGGTGAGTACTTTTGGGGGGGGCGGTGGGATGGCAAATCCCAAGTAGGGGGTTAAACACCACCCACTCATCATATACCCGTCAAACGGTTTTTTTTTTTTTTTTTGTTTTTACCTTGGCCCTTTCGACTTTCGAATGTTTGTCATTATGTTACGTAACGACATTATCAATGCGCCAACTTTTGAGAAAAGGTTATAGTTTCGCAAAATTTTCATTGTCGCGCGCAAAAAAAAAACAAAAGTTTTCCTATTAACTTAACGTCGACGTGTAAATAGACAAACATTGTTTTTAATCATCTAAGATAATAATGATTTTATTAATATACTACCGCGAGCAACGCGCGTTTCAATAATAATAATAATAGTAAATTATAGTAGTTTTTAATTAAATTACATCAATTTTTAAAATTATCAGGTATTCAAAGAGTTCATTGAACTCTTTTCACTCGCATAATCGATTAACTGAAATTAAAAAGAAAAAATTTCTGGTGGTACGTCGATGCCATATAAAAAACTCACAAAACCGAATCGACCGAATTCATTTCAAATCACAACCCATTTAAAAATTCTTATATCGACCATTTAATCGTTCAATCAATCAATCATTCTCCTCCCCCTCATTGAGATTTTTCAACCTCACGACGCCATATTTAAATTTAAAATCTTAATCGAATCCTTTTTCCGACTCAAAAGTCATTAATTAGTAGTAATAAATACGAAAACGTGGAAACAGAAAAAAATAAAATGATTATTTTGCAAAACAGAAAATCCCTTTTCTCTCTCTCTCTTTCATCTTTTGTCTAACCTTTTTCACATCTCTCCTCTCTCTCTCTCTCTCTCTCTTTCTATTATTGTTGGACACGAAGAAAAAAGAAAAAAAAAAATTAAATCCATACATTTGTTCGTGTTTTTCACATCATCACAAAAAACTTTTCAAGTGTCAATAGCGTTATGTACGTGACGGTAAAAAAACAAAAAATAATAATGATAATAATATTAATAATAATAAAGTTTCAATGGAAAGAATCGGTTGTTGTTGTTGTTTTCAAGATCATTACCACCTTTTTTACGCGATTCTTTATTTGAACGATATTAGTATCAAAGTGGGATTAATCGCGATTGCCACGATATTTTGTGCGTCTCTATTAAAAAAAGGAAATTTGTTTACGTTTACATTTTTTATTTTTATTTTTTATTTTTTAAAAATGTTTTTCGTTGCGAAAAACGAGCGAAAATTAACGAACGTGTAATTAACTAATAACCGAATGAAATGCCGGAACTAATCGGGAAAAAAAAGTTTCGAAACGTTTTTTTTTTAAATTTTTTCCTTCGATAATAATAATAATAATAATAATAATAATTGACGAACGACGATTTACCCGCGTATCGCGTTTGTGACGTATGCAAAACGAAAATTATGCGACAAAAAATTTTTTTTTCTTTTTTTTTTTTTGGCATTTTAAATTTTATTGACCGCACTTGACCCACCCGAATTTTTTTCACTGTTTCGCATCATCATCATCATCATTATTATTATTATTATCATTATCATCAACATTGTCAACAACATCATCGCCGCCACCTGCCAATTAATCGTGACGTAATTATACGCCCAGACGTGTAATAAATTTTTAATATTAAATTCAACGGTTAATATTTCGTAGAAGTTTTTTTTTTTAAAAAAATTTTTAATAAATATTACTAAACGGTTAAAAATTATTTTCTCCTGCCACGGTGAAACATAAAATATATTTTAACGCCATGGAAAACCAGAAATCGGATAAAGAGGAAAATGATGAGAAAAATTCGAAAAGAATTTTAAGAAAAGAGTTGTTGTCTTCTTCTACAGATTTTCGAAAAAACTCAACAAACATGAACGAATCGTCTGCTAGCAGTTCGGATTTATCGACAACGTATTCTTGGTCTCCGATATCTTACGCTAAACATTCGTGCGGTAGTTTATTCGTCAAATGTTCCCAACACGGAAAATGGCCGCTCCTTCAAACGTTCACCAATCGGAAAAGTCCGCTCTATCAGAAAACGTTTCCGGGACGATGTGCGACGTTGAGAAGTAAAAAACCGGAAGATTATGTTATGAGACGTAAAAAATGGAATAAAGACGACGAGGAAAACGAAAACGTTTTGAAAAATTTATCGTTCGAACGAGAACCTGAGAAAACGTTATCCCACTCATCGGAAACAAAAACAAACGCGGGTATATTGAGTCGGAAATGTGGGAAAAAGACAAAAAACAAAGTCAAATTCGACACGAAATTTTTGAAAATGGAAAAATCGAATGAACAGACCGAATCTCGTTTCGCAACAACGCAAAATATGATAATCAAAAGACGTAATTCTTGGACGGATCGTGTAGGATTCGTGGAAAAAATCAACGAACAACAACAACAACAACAAAAAACAATCGTACATCGCGAGAACGTTTCGATATCTCGATCGAAAAATCGAAGCGAACGTGACGAAAGAAGCACGAGTTGTGACAAAACAAGTAAAAATAGTTTTACCAAGTCCGTGAAAATGGTTCAAAACAACGATGACGTGGAACCGTCGCGTAAATACGACAGGAATCACCCCAAAAGAAGTTTTAAAACGTCTGCAAACCAAGACGAAAGACAGAGAAAACGTTCGGAAAAAATTAACAAAAAAACAAATAAAAATTACGAATCCGAACCGGAAGACGAGAAAAAGGTAAAAAAAAAAATTTTTTTTACTCAAGCAAAACCAAAATAATAAATAATTTTTTTTTTTTTTTTTTTCGCGACAAAAGGTTTTGCAAAAACGCGACGAAAATTTAAAAATTAATTTACAAAACTACGATCAAAACGAAACGGAACGTCTTCGTACGATTGTCGCCAGTTTGTCAAACGAAACAAACGAACAAGAAGAAAAAATTGATTTTTTACAAACGGAAATTTTTTACCTAAGAAAAGAATTGAAAAAAAAAGATCGGGAAAATGTTAAACTTCACAGAGAAATTCACAAGCTCAAGGTACGGCGCCATTTTGTTTCAAGTTTTCCACGCCATTCTCGACGATTTCAAAGTTCAAAAACTTTTTTTTTTTTTTTTCTATTGTTATGTTTTCGTGACAGAGCGTTTTGCAAGATGCGAGAGTTTTCAAAAGAGAAGGAGATTTATTATCGAGTCTTCAAGAATCTCATGGAATGCCTGGACAATTTCAACAGGTTATTAACATTCCAAATCCAAATAAAAAACAAGGAGTTTCCGGAGAGTCATCCGATCACGGTCAAAATCACCATCAAATTGAAATTCAACGATTTGAAAAAGATTTCAGGTACGACTCCGCACACCAAATAAAAAAAAATGGCGTCTCTATTTATTAATTTTTTTTTTTGTTATAGGTCGAAACAATTAATTAAAGACGCCATTTTGGAAAATAATTTTCTTAAAAATTTAGATACAGTTCAAGTAAGAGAAATCGTCGAATCCGTTTATCCGAAAAAATTTTCAAAAGGAGATTATGTCGTGCGAGAAGGAGAAGCGGGTAACGTTCTCTATCCCCATCCCCTCATCCTCCCCTCATTCACCCTTTTCTAGAAATTTCGATCGAGTAATAATAATAATAATGATAAAATGACTTACATAAAGAATTTTTGATTCGTTCAACTAGGTTCCCATCTTTACGTGTCCGCCGAAGGAGAACTTGAAGTTATTAAAGATCAAAACGTCCTTGGAAGAATGGGTCCTGGAAAAGCGTTCGGAGAATTGGCCATTTTGTATAATTGCAGGAGAACGGCTTCCATCAAAGGTTTTTTTATATTGATATTGTTTGCGTTGTGTCCGATACGATTCTCGTACATCGTTTTTTTTTTTTTTCCAGTTGTGAGCGATGCTAAAGTTTGGGTTCTCGACAGGCAAGTATTTCAAAAAATAATGATGAAAACCGGACTTCAAAGACTCCAGGAAAATTTAAATTTTTTACGTTCGGTTCCCCTTTTACAATCATTGAACAATGAAGTTTTGGCTAAGATAGCCGACGTTTTGGAAGTGGTGAGACGTTCACTCTGCAAAAGATAGCATCAAATTATTTAATGAAAACGACAGACAGTGAAAAACCCAAAAAAAAAAATTTATTTTCAGGATTTTTACCCCTCGGGAGAACACATAATTCGTCAGGGAGCGACTGGAGATACGTTTTTTATAATAAGCAGCGGAAGCGTTAAAGTGACACAAGAAAAACCTGGAAAAGATGAAGAGGAAGAGATAAGAATTTTAAACAAGGGAGATTATTTTGGAGAACAAGCATTATTGAAAGAAGATTGCAGGACTGCCAACGTGATAGCATTAAGTCCAGGCGTTGAAGTTTTAACGCTGGATCGAGAGTGAGATTTGTAAAAAATTTTTTTTTTGTTTCAAAACAAACAAACAAACAAACAAATTTTTTTTCTTAGATCTTTCATACAACTCATAGGAGATTTATCCGAACTTCAAGAGAAAGATTACGGAGACGAAAGTAGAAATTTTGCTAAATTTTCCAGTTGTTCCAGTCTAACCGACAAACAAGGTACGTTTTTTTAATTTTTAACGGTTTTTTTTTTAAAAATAAAAAAAATTGATCGAACTACGAATAACTGTAATTTCAGAATTCGAATACATTAGACTACAGGATTTGGATATAATAACCACATTAGGGGTCGGAGGATTCGGACGCGTCGAACTCGTACAATATTCAAAAAATAAATCCATGGCGTTTGCTCTAAAATGTTTGAAAAAACAACACATTGTCGAAACAAGACAACAGGAACACGTTTACAGCGAGAAAAATATCATGATGGCATGCAACAGCCCTTTCATCTGTCGGTATGTTGCCTTTTTGTGTCCAAAGAATCTGCCAAAACCCCTAAAAAATTATTATCATTAAGTGTATGGTATACCAGTTTGTACAGAACGTTTAAAGATTCCAAATACGTGTACATGCTACAAGAAGCACTATTAGGAGGAGAAGTTTGGACGATACTCAGAGAAAAAGGTTGTTTCGATGATTACACGACAAAATTCATAACTGCTTGCGTCATTGAAGCCTTCGAATACCTTCACACAAGAGGAATCGTTTACAGAGATTTAAAACCTGAAAATTTACTTCTTGACAGCATAGGTTATACAAAACTGGTGAGGTTGTTATTATTATTATTATTATTAAATAAAAGAAAAAGAATATTAACTTATAATATTTTGTTCCAGGTCGATTTTGGTTTTTCAAAAAGAATCGGATTCAGTTCGAAAACATGGACGTTTTGTGGCACCCCGGAATATTTAGCACCAGAAATTATTTTAAACAAAGGTCACGACAGAGCTGTTGATTATTGGTCGTTGGGAATACTCATGCACGAACTTTTAACCGGAATGTTTGTATTCGATAACGTATTTTGATTTTCGGTAAACGAAAAAAAAAAAAAAACCCAAAAAAACTTGTTTTCGTAGATGTTTTATTTTAGAAAGTAAACGAAATGAATTTTAGACCACCGTTTGCCGCTCCTGATCCAATGAGAACCTACAACATTATATTAAAAGGAATTGACGTCATTGATTTTCCCAAACACATAACAAAGGGAGCACAAAGTCTTATAAAAAGATTATGCAGAGATTCACCGAGTGAAAGATTGGGATATCAAAGAGGAGGAATTCAAGACATAAAAAAACACAAGTAATAAAACAAAACAAATGAAGAATGAATGAATAAATCAATCAATGATTGTAATGTTTTAAATTTTGCAGATGGTTTCAAGGTTTCGATTGGTCTGGTCTAAAACAAAGAGCATTGATTCCTCCTGTTGCTCCAATAGTCAGAAGTCCGACAGATACTTCCAATTTTGATAGTTATTCAAAAGAAACTGTTGTGCCACCTGATGAGTTCTCATGTTGGGATGCAAAATTTTAACAATTGTTTGTAATCTCGATTTTTACGAATGAGAACTTGATTCATTCACATTCGAAACATTCCCTAACATTGCCAAACTCGAATAAAGTCTTCAAGACATGATGATCTTCAAAAATTTATACACCAAAACAAAAAATTTTTATAAATATAAGTATTTTCCCTTACTATTTTCTTTTAGATGAAATAATTTATAAAAATAAAACAATAGAAATATATTTTTATGAAAAGCAAATATAATATTTGAAAAGTTATACATGATAACTTTTTGATGTGGGGGAAAAAAAAAAAAGAAAAATTTTATGAAATTTGATCGTTCCTGCTTTTTTATTACTATTGAATAATGAAAAGAAAACAAAAAGAAAATCAATAATATGTCATATATCGACCACAAATTTAATTTTATCCGTAGTAAACGTTTAAGGGAATATTAAAAAACGTTTAAAAAAATTCTGAATTTTGTTTTACTACAAAGTTACCTCAAGGATAGAAAATGTAAAGTAGAGAATGTATTGTTATCACTTACCATATATATATATCTCAGGGTACTTGCAAAAAGGCCCACCATGATGTAAAATAACCCTTTTGTTACATTTAATCTCACTATTTCACAATCAAATTTCACATACAAGTTACTGACAGCAAGCCATTTTATTTGATCAATCATTATATAAATACATTTTCTTTCTCCACCAATACTTAAAGCATTAATAACACATAAGAAAAACACTTTTACCGTACCTTCAAAATGACGCGGAACACAAGAATAAAATTAAATTAATTTTAAAAGAATAAAATCCGGCGAATTAACATTCGATTGACTTTAACGAGTAACGTTTTCATGACAAAGGAAATTTTTTTTTTTTTGACTTACCATTGATTCGTCACGTTGCCCTTTTGATTGGTCAATTTTTTCGCATTATTCATCTGTGCTGAACTTAAAGTCTCAACATATAAGTTGTTAGTTGATTATTTATATTTTTTTCTTTTTCTTTTAATAAAATGCCGTCGGAAAATACTGAATTATTATTGTGTTATAACAGAGGTTGCGGTAATAGATTCGATCCGCTCAAAAACAACGAAGGTAATTTAAAAAAAAGAAAAAAAAGCATTAATTTTTTATAATTATTATCATCGTGTCTTTATTTAATTGAAATGTTTTACCTATGGAATTTTCTAGATGCTTGTACATTTCACCCGGGAAATCCAGTTTTTCACGATGCTTACAAATCTTGGTCGTGCTGTAATAAAAGATCAACAGATTTTACTGAGTTTTTAAACATAAAAGTATTAATTAAATTACCTCTAATACTTAAATGATGAATTGAGTTTGAAAATCCTTTTGACGTATTTATTTAATATTTTAGGGTTGCACAAAATCTTGTCATTCAAATGTAAAACCTCCACAACCTGAAAAACCAAATGTTGACAAAACTAAAAATGGTGAAGTCATTGAATACATTGCACCAAGAGTGAAAATGTCAACTCTTGAAAGGCCACCTTTTGATACTCCCCTTTTGAAAATGACTCCAGATGTATCGCCAGCTCTTAAAACTCAAATTGAAAATTTAGTTAGTCAAAATAATGAATCTGATAATTCAGGTAATTCATCAATCAATCAATCAATCATTTGTGTTTATTAAAAAAAATACATTTGCTAAAGCGATGATTCGAATGATGATCATACAGGTGAAGTAATGATTGGAACTGCGTGTAAAAACAGAGGATGTAAATCTGCATACAAAGGAACAGAATCAAATGAAGAAGAATGTGTGTATCATCCAGGAGTTCCAGTTTTTCATGAAGGTTTAAAATCGTGGTCGTGTTGCAAGAAAAAAACAACAGATTTTGCAACTTTTTTGGAACAATTGGGTTGTGAAAAAGGAAATCATGTTTGGGTGAAAGAAAATGTAAGATGATCATCATGATTGATGATAAATAAACATTTTTCATTCATTAATATCTGATGTTAAAATTAATTTACAGGATGAAAATGAAAGGACGGATTGTCGATATGATTGGCATCAGACAGGAAGTCATATTGTGATGTCGGTTTATGCGAAAAAATATCATCCAGATAAATCAATAATCGAATTGAATCCCATAAGGATTAAAATGAATATTTTTTTCCCAGAAAACAATTCTGCTTTTAATAAAGATTTAGAATTGTTTGGAGTAAGTAAAGAAAAAAATTAATTTTAATTTCCCCCCTCCCCCCCAAATGTATAATAATGTTGGATTTTATTTTTCAGATTGTCGACGTTGAAAAAAGCGAAATTAAAATGTTACAAACAAAAGTAGAAATCAAATTGAAAAAAGCTGAACCTGCTAATTGGCCTAAATTAGAATTGCCCAGGATTCAATCATAAAATGTTTTTTCTTTTTTTTTTTTTTTTTTTTCCCCTTAATAAATTAATCTCTCTTCAATCATCATGTCTTCTTCTATCTCTCTGTTTTATATATATATAATAATAATAAATAAAAATTTCCTCCATCTTTAATTAAAATTTTTTAAATCATCATCGTTTATATCGACGCACACGTCTGTACCACTTTTGCTCTTTTTCTTTTTATCAAAGTGAATAAAATAAATAAAAAAAAAAAAGCTTACGTATAAATATTTATTAATATTATTTCCCCCCACCAATCCTTCCCCTCCCTCCATCCCTCCCGTCCAACTTTATTGGAAATCTTCATCTTCCCAAGTAACAATTAATTAAGAAACTAGAGAGACAGAGAGAGTGACTGCGAAAAAAAAACAAAAAAATCATCTTTTTTAAGAAAAATCTTACTCGTATTGTTTTATTTATTATAAACTGATAATAATAATAATAATAATAAAGATGACAATAATAATAATAATTCACTAATTCATTCTAGTGATTAAAATTAAAAAAAAAAAAAAAAATTCAATAATAAATTAAATTCATTTTTTTTTTTTTTTTAATATTTAAATTAGGGAAAATAAAGAGTAGGGAATAATAGGGGTGGTGGTAATAGTAGTAGTAGTTGTGGTAGTGGGGGGTAGTAGTACTGGTAATAAAAATAAACAGTTTTCTATCCGATTCCGGAAAAGAAACGACGTAATAAAACAAAAAAAAAAAAAAAAAAAGTTTTTACACTTACTTTTCACTATTATATATAAATATATATATATATAAAAAAACAAAAAAAAAAAAAAATTCATCACTTCGGAATGTAAACTCCAAAAGTTAAATAATAATAATAATAATAATAATAATAATAATAATAATAATAATAATCGAGTCGGTCATGCGGCTGTTACGTACTAAACTCAAAGCTGACTAAGAGAGAATCAAAAAAAAAAAAAAATTGTTCTAAGGGATGAGGGGGGAGGGGAGAGAATCCGTTCGCATAACTTTTTTTTTTATTACTCGGTCCTCACAACTGACCTCGCACATAATTACTCCATATTTAAAAAAAAATTACTGGAAAACGAGAGCACTGAGAGAAAGAGACAGAGAGAAAAAGAAAGGAGAGGAGAGCGGAAAACGACAAGAATACAAAAGAGAGAGAGAGAGAGAGAGAGAGAGAGACGTGTGCCTTTCTTTTCCTCCTCCTCTCCTCTCCTTTCTTCTCCTCTTCGGCCTTTGACTACATTTATATACGCTAAAAGGTTTCGAGTCAATCATTGAGTACGATGTTATCGTGTTCGATGCCGAACGCGTGGCGAAGCGAAACGTGACGCACGTGTACGTCACGTTCGTCATAAAAAAAAAAACGAAACGCCTACACCGCGACGAGTGTAAACATTGTAATAATAATAATAATAATAATCACGGACCCCCTTTTTTTATTACGCGTTTTAAAACTTCGACACGAAATCATCAGTCAATTGATTGACTCGAAATTACAATCCATCATCATTCATGCACACGCACACGCACTCGCACGCACGCACATTATTGTTTTGCTTTCTCTTCTTCTTCTTCTTCTTCTCCTCCTCCTTGTCCATCTGAACTGATGATGAAAAAAAAAAAAAATTCATTCACCAACGATGTTTATAAATGTTTTTCTCTCGTAAACCTCTCAAAACCTGATGGGGAATAAATTCCTTGCTCCATTTTCACACACACTAACGATAACTTATTACAAATGACAATGATGATACTGGTTTAATACATTTTTTGCTTTTCTTTCTTTCTTTCTTTCTTTCCTTTTTTTTTTTTTTTTTAACTGACAAGTTTTTGATTTTGTTTTGTAATTTCTTTATTAATAAGGCGCAGGTCGTTGATTTCTACCTCCTCCACCACCGCCTCCGCCTCTTTGTTTGCCCCCTCCGAAGCCACCTGCGAGAAAAGAAATAAAAAAAAAAAAAACATGAAAAAATTGTTTTTTTAAGAGGAGAAAAAGATGGAAAGTGAAAAAGAACAAGAGAGAGAAAGAGAGAATGCGAAAAAAAAAGTTCCCGTGTATCTGCAAAAAAAAAAAAAAAAAAAAAAAATCTGCGTCGACATCCAACAACAAACACAAGATTTCACTTCTTGAATCCACACGACAAACGAAAAACATAATTGATGAGTCAGTCAACATATGTCGACTCGACACAACCACCTTCAACTTGCAGCAAAAAGAAAAATGGATCGAATAAAAAATACAATTTGCCACTTTCTACCTATGGTATATCAAACTGACGACGACGACGACGACGAAGACAACAACACAAACGGAGGAGAAACTACCGCCGAGAAAAATAAACAAACAAACAACTTTTCAACCGTGACGTTTTACAAACCTAACAAAACAAAGACAATGACAAAATTATCCGACGGGTAAAAACGGCGGGAAGGGAAGTAACAACAGGAACAACGATAAACACAAACAAGAAACATAACGATCCACAAAGATTTTATTAGATCAAAGGCGGGCAAAACATTTCGAGAATACGACAAAACAACACAAACAACAACAACAAGAACACAGACACTCATTATCTTCATCGAACGAAACAAGGAAGGGAAGTAGTAAGAAGGAAAAAAGTAAGGAAAACAATACAACGGCACACGCCTTCAGAGGAAAAAAAAAAAACATCAATAGTAATAATAATAATAATAAAAATGTGACCGGAAACGGAGCTACGCCGACTGACACATTTCGATGAATTTCCACGACGACTCATGATTCGGCCAAAACTTTAAAAAGAATGAGAGAGACAGAGAGTGAGACAGAGAGTGAGGGAGGGGGGAGAGAGGGAGAGAGAGAGAGAGAGAGGGGGGGGGGGAGAGAAAAAACAAAAGAAAAATAAAAAAGCGACCCTTAAAAAAAAAAAAAATTCATTAAATAAAATATAATAATAATAATAATAATAACAACAACATGGTTCCCACCACCCAAAAAAATAATACAAAATATACATTTTTTTTTTTTCTCTTTTCCCCCATCACTTTCATTCTTACCTACCTTGGGCGAAAAAAGAAAAACGTTAAATGAATGAGAAAATAAATAAAGAAAAGAAGGAATGAAGAAGAAGTGTACACACACATACACGAAACACATACGTTCTGTTAGAAAGAGAGAGAGAAAAAGGAAGAAAAAGATGAGCAAGAAACGGAAATGATTAAAATCGTCATCATACATACTGGGAAAAAAACCGAAGCAAGATGATGATGATGCACAGTAATGAGAAAGGAAGAGAAAGAGAGAAAGAGAAAAAAAAAAAAAACAGATCACCGAACCACCGACCCAATGAAACACGAAATAAAAATTATTATTATTATTATTGCGTTGTCCTTACTTTTAGTTTGCATGTTGCCAAACATTTTTCGGGTCAGTCAGCCGCATCATGATTGTATGTGTCAATCGGCTCTGCTCCATTCTGTATAAGCACCACTAACTACAACAGTAAAAAAAATACTGAAAATCTGGCTCATTATTCTCAATTGAAAGAAAGAGAGCGCGCGAAAGAGAGAGAGAGAGAGAAAAAAAAAAATAAATAATAAAATAAAAAGTAAGACAAAAAAAAAAAAAAACGTCATCAATCAATCAATCAATCGATCGTTTTCTTTTTCATCCCCTACGCTTATCAATTATTCTTATCGTCATTGTAATTGTTGGTTGTTGTTGTTGTTGTTTTTATTGTTATCGATATTGTTGTTGTTAATATTATCATTTTAACTTCGGATCGTATTGTTGGGCGTTACGGGGTCGTCAGGGCACGCGAACCTTCGTCAGTCACGGTTACCTCAGAACAAGCCATTTCAAAACCTTTTTCAATTGTTCGTTTGGGTCACCGACTCCGTTTTGGACACCACGAAAACACGAGAACGACACACGTTCTATTTAGGTCTTTTGAAATAGCTCGTTCTGGTAAAGTTACTTTTGTTTTGTTTTTTTTTTTTTTTTTAATGTCTGTCCGAGGTGATAAATGCAACAACAACCCACCTTTGCCTCTTCCTCCGCGGCCACCGCCGCCGCCGCCGCCGCCACCTCCTCCTCCATATCCATCGTATCCACCGCCGTAACCGTACCCGTCTAAAAAAATTTTTATTTTTCAAGTCTTAAAATTACCACCAGAAAAGATAAAAAAGAAAAAAAAAAAGAAAAACAAAACGGCATCTATTCTTCTACGTCTTTCTCGCTCTTTTTGCATTTTTTACATTTCCTCGATACGATAATAATAATAATAATAAAAGATTAGGAAACTCACCGTATCCACCGCCGCCGCCGCCGCCACCTCCGCCATAACCTTGATTATAACCTTGACCGTAACCGGAGTAATCGTATCCTCCGTAGCCACCACCGTAACCTCCTCCGTTGTAGTATCCATCGTAGCCGTAGCCACCTGTGAAATTTGAAAAATGTCAATTTGAGTAACATATTCGCGACAGATAAAGAGAAAGAGATAGAAATAGGGGAGGGAAAAAAAGAAAGATAAATCAATTTATATGTAATAATCCTTGCCTCCGTAACCCCCGTATCCTCCCCCGTAATTTCCGGCGTATCCTCCTTGATTATTCCAACCACCTTGTCCTCTCCTTCCGGGACCTCCGCCTCGCCCTCTGCCTCCTCTACCGCCGGGCCCTCCTCGACCTTCACCAGCTTTTGGATTTGCTTTTTTCACATCGACCTATAAACGACAGAAACACACATTTCATTGCACTTTAAAAAATGGAAAAACTTTTACGAAATTTGGCGTTTTATTGATCCTTTCAGAGTGGAATTTTCATCACCGTGTGGGTGTTCAGTAGCAGAACTGGTGTAAAAAATTTTTTTTCATCATAAAAATAACAAGTATAACATTATTAATAATAATAATAATAATAATAATAATAATAATAATAAATAAAACTCACTTCTTTTCCGTTAATCGTTTGTTTCGGTTGTTTCAACAAATCGTTTGTCACTTGCTCCGATTCAAACGTGATAAAACAAAAATTTTTCTGTTGATTCTTCTGCTTGTCGAAAGGAAGTTCAACTTCGAGGATCTGCAACGTCAGAAAGAGACTCTTGAGTACAAAAAGAAAAACTTTTTGTCTTTTTCCTTCTTTTCGATTACATTTACGCAATCGATCGACTCTCAGAAATGATTTTAAAAAAAAAATCACGACTACTCAGAAGCAAAACTGGCATGTTGTTAAAAAAATATCATCATTCGAATCGAATAGAAAAGACTAGAAAAGGTTGAGGAGGAAGAGGGGAGGGGAGGGGGTTCGCTCACCGTTCCAAATTGTCCGAAAAAATTCCTTATGTCTTCTTCCGAGGTTTCAACGTCTAGACCTCCAACAAATATTTTACCATGCCTCGCTTTGGCTTTTTTCGGATCAATTTTTTTACAATTAATTATGTGGTCGCCGGCCGCCATGACTTTTTCTATTGATTCCACGTCTTTGAAAACTATGAATGCAAATCCACGGGATCGTCCCGACGCGGGATCCGTTTTGACGCTCACGCTTTCGATTTCACCAAATTGACTGAAATGTTCTCGTAGTTCCTCTGCGAATGAGAACAAGAAAAGAACGGACAACATCATTAGACACGGCCGTTATGACAATAATAATAATATTAACAACAATAGAAAAATCAGGAAAAGAAAAGATGAGAAAATTTCGTGCCTCTTTATAGTAAACGAAAACTTTTCTTTTTTTCTTTTTCTAGAATTTTGTCCTTCCACTAATTGAGGTGTATAAGATCGGTACCTTGATACATCTCACCCAGTGAAAGGTTTTTCTAATTTTTATTCTCGCCTTCGATTATCGAAATTTGGAATTTTTTTTTTTGAACCAAAACTCGAAATGAATTGAAACGAAGGCACAAAACGATATGAGGCACTCTCGAATAAAAAAAAAAAAAAAAGATGGCGAACAAGAAAACAGAGAGAAAGAGAGAGAATAAATAAGAAATATTAACAAAATACTTACTATCCGTTGTTTCCCAGCTCAAACGTCCAACAAATAATTTTCTAGAAAAATTTAAAAAAAAAAAAAAAAGAAAAAATAAAATAAAATAAAATGAAAAATCGTTTTAAATAAAATTTTAATGGTAATGGTAATAATAATAATGTTAAATTTTCATCTTTACTAATTGATTCATTCTCGATTCTTGTTATTATTATTTATTTCGATTTCTTTTTTCTTTTCTTTTCTTAATTGATATCATTATCATTATTATTATTATTTTTCAATTTTCAAAACTCAATAAGGAGCAGAATAAAACAAAAAAAAAAATTATTTTTCCTTATTGTTTATTGTCCTAATCTTATTCCACTGACACTACTTTTTTCCTACCCCCCCCCAAAAAATTTCTATTTACACGTTCACATGCACGTGTACACATACGTATATAAAAACAATTTTTTTTTTTTTTTTTTTTTGCAGATTCCATTAATCTTTAGGAAAGAAAGCTTTCATGTTGTGTTAGAAAGTGAGAGAGAAAAAAAAACAAATAAGCTATCAAGTTTTCTATTACTATTATTATTATTTTATTTTTCTTCAGACGATCGAAGAAAGAGAGAGAGAGAGAGAAACAAAACAAAAACAAAAAACCTCGACATTTACACGACATTTTTTCGAATGAATAATAAATTAATTTTTTTAAAATTTTATTTTCATTTTCCTTTTATATTATAATTAAAGAAACAAAAAGAAAAAGAAGAGAAAAACTCGAGCGACTCTTGAAAATTCTCCATTAACGTTCATTTTTGTTTTTCTATTCTCGACAAATTAAATGTAATCAAATATTCTTATACTTTTCCAACAGCCGCGTTTTTCTTTTCTTTTTGTAATTTTCTGAAATATAAATATGAGCTTTTCACATACTTTAATTTTTCCCTATAAATAGAAATTCAAAACCTTGTAATGCGTGTGAATAATAATAATAATACGTAGAAAAAATTTGATTGTAATTAAAAAAAAAAAAAAACAAGAAATAGTACAAATAATAATAGTGATAATAATACTACTTTTTCCCCCCCCCCCATCAAACTCAACTATTCCCCCTTCCCCCCAAATAAAACAACAACAACAACATGACGTCATCACTAATTTAATGAAAATTTTTATTTTGTCAAATTAATTCAATTATGGAATCTGCAAAATTTAATTACTATTTTATTTTCTTAAATAATTCTGCTCCTTTTTTTTTTTTTCTTGTTGATTTTTCGAGAAAAAAAAATTTTTTTTTTAAAAAAACAAAAACAAACCCAAAAGGAAAAGAAAAAGAAAAAAAAAAAAAAAGTTTCTTTAGGCTAAAAGTTTCGAGAATTAAAAAAAAAAAAAAGAAAAAAAATATTTAAAAAATTGTTTTGTTTGTTTTCTTTCTTTTTCTTTTTCTTTTTTTTTTTCCTTTAATAATGCAACAAAAACAGTTTTCTTTTTTTTTTTTTGTTGAAAAATAAATAATAAAAAATTTAAATAATAATATTATTATTATTTCTTTCATCGAACAACAACAAAACTTTCAATTTTTTTTTTTTTTTTGGAATTTTATGAAAAACTCATAATGTAAAAACAAATATTAAAGTCATCAAAAGTTTAATATGGTAAATTTTAAAACGAGGCAATAACAACCAAAAACAAAATAATAATAATAAAGTTGTTTTCGTTATCGTTATTATCATTATTAATATTTTACTCGATTTTATATATATTGAAATTGAGAATCTTGAAAACTCAGAAAAGCTGCTACAATAAAAAAAAAAAAAAAAAAAAAAAAAAAAAAAAAAAAAAAAAAAAAAAAAATTGAGAGAGAGAGAGAGAGAAATAAATTTTTTTTTTTTTTTTTGTATCGGAAAATTGAAATTGAAATCTTGAAATTTCCCCAAGTTGAAAGCAGCAGCCTCTGAGATGAAAACAAACTTAGAACAAACAATTCATCTCCAAACAATTAATATCCAAACTGAATCTGTAAAACATTATTAAACAACAAAAAAAAAAATTTTTTTCTTTCTTTCTTATTTTCTTTCTATCTTTCTTTCCTTTTGTCTTATTATATATTACATGAATTAAATTTCATCTGAAAAAATTTTCTAAAAAAAAAAAAAATTTTTTGTTTTCTTATATTTTATCGATTTGAGAATGAGAGAGAATTCAATCGTCATCATCATCATCATCATCATGATCAACATCATCTTGTAAGAAGTTCAACAATGGATTTCGGTCAGAATGACCAAAACAAGTTACTATTAATTTCAACATGAATTCAATTTAAAAATTAAACCTTTCGAATAAAAATCAATTTAAAAAATTATTTGTAAAATTATTTAAGAGAGAGAATTTAGAATTAATTATTATTATTTTTTGTTTAAATTTATGAATTGATTTTGTTCATTTAATTCTTTGGTTCTTTGAATTTAATTTTTTATTTTTTATTTTTTTTAATAAGAGATGTCATGTGCAAAACCCACCATGGGTCTTCCTTCGAAGTCAGGCATCTCCATATCCATGTTGTTCCATCTCCTCATATCACCTAAAGAAAGGAATCATGTTAAAATTAAGATGAAAACTTTTTATTTATATATAGATATAAATATATATATGTGTGTAATTTCTTTTAATAAAAAATTTGCATGTAAATATATATATATATATATTTTTTTTCCTTCTCGATAAGTGTTTAATCATCATTTCATATGACAAACCTATATTTTATTTATTCAATTATTATTATTATTTTCTAAATAAAAAATAAAAATTATTTTATCATCTCGATAGAAACTTCATTTACCTCTGTTGAACTTTAAACATTTTAACTGTTTTTTTTTTTTTTTTGTTTTTTAAAAAAGAAACATACACTATTTTATTAATAATACTACAAAAATAAAAAATAAAAATAAATAAATAAATAAAAGTTTCATTCAATTAAAAAAAAAAAAAAATCAAAAACATTTTCATAAAAAAGAAAACTATACCTTGATAAAAAATTGAGGTCCAAAGTTAATTTTTCATGTACAAATCAATGTGCCAGTGCTACAGAGAATACTAGGAGAAATTTTTTTTTTTTTTTTTTTTTTTTAAAAAAAACTTTCACAAAAAGTTTTTCCAACAAATTTAACTAAATTCTCAATTGTTATTATGTTTTGTTCGAAAAAAATATACCAAAGACAATATGAAGAGAGAAAAAAAATATATCATTTTAATAGAATAGTAATTTTGTGACCTCTGAAAAAATTTCAAATTCAATTTTCTGACAAATAAAATCAATTTTATTATTAATTAATTAATGAACATTAAAAAAAAAAAAAATGAAATCAAAATAATTAATCAATAAATGTTGTGTCGTTTGTTCGATAAACAAATTATTTTTTAAACAACTTGGGTGAATATTCGTTATCGCATGTAAAATAAATAAAAACTCTGTAATAATTTATTTCAAAATCAATAAATAATCAATTATTTAATACAATTATTAATTAAAAATTCATAATAAAAAAAAAGAAAAAAAATATTTATTATAAATTTTCTTTTCTTTTTAAATAAATAAATAAATATAAATTTACAAAAGACAAATCATTTGATAATCAATTGTAAATAAAAATAAATTTTTTGATAATTTATAATATAATGATGATAAATTCAATTTCTAAATTTTTTTATGTATGAGTTTTTCTTTTCTTTTTTTTTTTCTTTTTCTAAATAAACAAATATGGATTTAATTCAAGGTTATAAATACGCAAAATAAAATGGATTGTAATTTTTTCTCCTCTCACTCTCTTTTTTTTTTTTGTTTAATTAAAATCCACTTTTGAAATTTCATCGTGTTATTAATTAGAAAAAAGAAAATCGATTGATTGAAAAGGAAAATGTAAATATTTATATATAAAAAATTAATTATAAATTAAATAAATATTGCGTAAATTCATTAAAAATTTATCATTTAAAAATAAATTTTACGGTTGTGAATAATCATTCGAGAACATGCTCGACGCCATGTTTGATTTATATTAATTCAATCAATACTTGACATGTTTTTTTTCCCAATGAGGAAAAAAATTAAATAACGTCTTTTTTTAAATATTATTTTACGTAAAATGAAATTAGACATTTAAGAGAGTTTAATAATCAAAAAAATATAACGAGATGGATATTTTTAATGATGGAAAAAAAACGGATAAAATTAAGTTTGATCGTGTGAGTTAACGTATTAAAATGACGCCGGTTGGATAATACGAACTAATACGGTATTAAAATAAAAAAATTGAATTAACAAATACATTTTCATTAACTCATACGTTTTAATAATAATAATAATAATAATTAAAACTCTGTACCATTTTAGAAATTGAATTTATATCAAGATAAATAAATAATTCACATTATTGATATATATGTTACTCGAGATTTTCCCACAAATTCAAAAAAGAAAGAAAAAAAAAAAAAATTAACTTGATTTACCTGTCGTCATTGTTTGTTGATTCTGTTGTTCCATTTTCTGTTGATCCATTTTGTTGTGGATCAGGTTCCTTCATTTCTGTATCTCCACTTTCAGCCATTTTAATAACTTTATGACTTAATTAGAGCACTAAAATAAAAAACTACTCTACGAACCAAGCCACACAAGGCTGAAGACAAAAAGCTAAGAGGGCGATGCGAGTTCAGTAAACGTTTAAAAAGGAAAATCGTATCAAAGGAAATTCCATTGGCGTTATTTCCACTTGTATTTTTTCTTTGTTTTAAACGTAACTTATGTTTAGCTTACGTGTAAGTAATTTTTAATCTATTTTTTGTATCTTATTGCCACTTTCTTTAAAAACTTTATTTTATTTTTTAATATTTTAATATTTCAAAATATCAACGTTTAATTAGTGCGTGAAGTTTTTAATAAGGAACAAAAAAAAAGAAAAAACTACATCGAAATAAAATTTAAAATTTGTTACAAATATTACCGCACATATATATAAAAAAATGGTAAGAAAACGTTAAACATTTGTAACGAGTGGCGTTAATTTTGAGTAATTAATTTTTTTTAATAAAAGACAATTAAATAATAATTAATTAGTATTAAATTTTAACCGTGATTATACGAAAACGAACGTTAAACATTTTTTAAAAAACAACGAAATTCCAAAAGTAACCCGTATGAAAAATAAAAAAAAAAAAAAAATTAATTCTAGACATGCGCAAAGGTAAAAAAAAATTTCGTAATTTTCGATAGGGAAATCCAAAGTGGTTGTACATTCTAAATAGCGGACATGTCAAGACTTGTACAAACGTTCGCATAAAAAATTTGTTTTCACGGTGAGAAATTCTTTTGACGTTCGCGGTCTTTTTTTTTTTTTTTTTATTTTATTTCGTTTTGTTTATTTTTTTGTTTTTAAACTCTCGGTTTTATAAAAAAGACAACAAATTAGTAAAAACAATTAAAACGAAAAAAAATAAATTATTAATAATAATAATAATAAACGAAGATAGATTTATTGAATTGTCTTCCGCATAGTTTTATTATTATTATTATTATTATTATTTTTACATATGTCACCGTTTAAGTTTTTTTTTTTTTTGTTTTAAGTGTTTTCTTTTCTTTTATTTTAATGTGAATTTTTATTTTTAAACGCGAAGTGAAATGAATTATAAGTTTTTAAACAAAAAATAATATTTTAAGTATTTATTTATTTATTATTATTGTGAAAAGAAAAAACTTTGTGATTATTTTAAAATTGATTCTTACTCCTTATAAAAAGAGAGAAGAAGGAGAATAGTAATAATAATAATAGTTAATTTTTTTTATTATTATTTCTTTTTAATAATAATCTTTGGTAAAATTATTAAAAGGTCATTTTAATGTAAAAAAAAGTATTTAAGTGGATTAACATTGGTTATTCTGACACGTTTACTTCATGGCGTCTTAAAGGTACCGTAATCTTGACATTTATAACTAACAAAATTTTTTACATTTTTTTTCGTTTTTAATTTGTAAATTTTTAGGTACGTCAGGTAAATGTTATAACAATTAAACTTTATTAATTATTTTAAGGTTCGTTTTTTTAAAATAGTTTGTTTTTTTACTAAATGTTTCACTTGACTTTTATTCACATATACTTTTACATTTTAAAAATGTTGAAAACGTTAAAGTCATTGAAATTTTTAATTTTTGTTTATATTTATATATATAAAAATCATTTTAAAATTATTATGATGTGTGATTGTGTCCAAGTGATGATATGATTATATTTAAAATGTGATTTGTCATTCGGATTGAGATTCATAACTTGAATCGATTATGTTGTATGTAACATAATTGTTTGGAAAACAATAAATGTAATTCGCATATTGTTACAAATATTGTTACAAACTCCGACAGTGTTTTTGTGTTTGTGTATATGTGTTTGTCGTTTGATACACACACAATTCAATAACAATTAATTAGTTAATTAATTAATCAAATGTATGAAAATAAGTTAATGATGTTGTTGTGTCTCGGTTTGTCTCCATCTTACTTCTTCTTCGAATGATGAAAGAGGTTGTGTCTTTTACTTTATTGTTTTTAAACGATTGCATCAATTTGTATTTGTTTCATTCATTCTTTTATAATTTTATGTCTTATTTCCTTCTCTCTCTCTCTCTGTGACAGATTTTTTATAAATATTATTTCATTATTTAAATAAACAATTACTTTTTTTTTTTTTAATTGTTTAAAATATTTATCATCATTACCCATTACCTGGAGAGTTTTATTTTCTATCATTTATTAACAAATCATCATCATCATCATAATTCTTTTTGTGTTGTTTCTGTCTGTCTTTTTTGTCTATATGTATATATATATGATGAGAAATTAAAATTTTTATTTTATTTCCTATTGTTTTCTTTTTTTTTTTTTGTTTCGAATCGTGTGTAAAAGTACAAACAAACAAATAAATAAATAAATGTCAACCTTTTGCCACATTGGAGAAAAAAAAAAAAAAAAATAAAAACCACTAAAAGAAAGTCAGAAAAATATTATTTTGTTGTTGTTGTTATTATTATTATTATTTACACGCTGGCTGTCGCAATATTTTAATAAAATAAAAAAAAAAAATTTTCGACGATGACAACAACGACGACAACGACAACTACAACCATCAACGACGACGACGACACCGTTTATATGAATAATACAAATGTTATGCATTTTGGCAGACAAGTACGATTTAATTTTAATTTTATCATCATCATCATCATCATGATTATTATTATTATTATTATTATTATTATTATTATTATTATTATTATTAATACAATTTTATTTTTGATGATTTAATTTTACTTAACGACATATTCAATTTGCATTCGTGTAAAAAAATTGAAAAAAAAATTTTTTTTTCTTTCAAACACACAATAAAAATTTACAGCAGACGACTGATTTTACAAAAAAAAAAAAAAAATTAATAATAATAATAATAATAATAATAATAATAATTTTCAATTGTATTTTTCAATCGGATTTTAAATTTTAAAATTCAATTTCGAAAATTAAATAAATAAACAAAACAAACAAATAAATAAATAAATAATGTGCACACGATTCGATGATTGTTATTATAATTTTGTGTAACGACAAACCGCAGGCTCCTTCTTCCGGAAGTTGAAAGTTGAAAAACATGAAAAAGTGTAAAGTGCACTTGTGCGCGTGACGTGCGCCAAAAAAAAAAAATAATTGAAAACGTTCAGGGTTCGAATTTTATAAATATATTATATATACATATAATTTGAATTGTTTGTTGTTGTTGTTGTCGCTGTCGCTGTTGTTGTTGTTGTTGTTTTTATAATTGCTGTTGTCGTAATAAGAGTTTTACACGCGTTTATCCTTTTTTATTATTATTATTATTATTATTATTATTATTATTATTATTATTATTATTATTATTATTATTATTATTATTAAAAGCACTGCAATTATAATTTTTTTTTTTTTAATTGCGCAATTTTCGTTCGTGTTGTTGTTGTTGTTGTTGTGTTTGTTGTTGTTTTTAAGGACGAATTTAAAAGGATTAACGCGTTTTACATTATTATTATTATTATTATTATTATTGTTATTATTATTATTATTATTTTTTATAACAAATGTTTATCGATGTTCATTAAAACGGTTTAATTGGCATTAAACCGTTTTTTTTTCTCTCTCTCTCTTTCTCTTCATCCTTTTTATTATTGTTATTATTACTATTATTATAAAAAAAAAATTGATGAATTTTCCGGTGTGAAATGTTTTTTTTTTTTTTTGTTTTCAAACTGACGCCACGTCGTTTGTATTACAAAAAAAAAAAAAATATTATTTTTACACTCGAATGCTGGACAAAAAAAAAAAAAAAATTTTGTCTGGAAATCCGAACGAAAAAAAAAACAATAAACGTCCAACAAACCCGTGAAATATTAAATGAAAAAATTTTTTTTTTAAATTTGGAGCATTTGTTTAATATAAAAACACCAACCACCCTCGGATAATATGCCACCCCCAAAAAAACAGTACAACCAAATTATTAGAGAGAAAAAGGGAGAGAGAGGGAAAAAATTTCCCTTCCGTTTTTTTCGATATTATTTAAAAATTTGGAATTTTTCATTAACGGTTTTTTTTTTCTCGTACAATTTCGTAAAATGCGAGTAATGTGCGTGAATGCGTGCGTACATAACGCGGCGTGAAAATTAAAATAAATAAATTAATTAATTAATAAAAATCGATATTAATAAATATCGTGAACGTGTCGCATTCATTTTATAGGGAATCGAAATCGAAAGGTTCGATCGTCAAGATATATTAATTATATCGAAATGAAATTCGATTAATCGCGAATGTATAGGATTTTATTTTTTTTTTATTTTTAATTATAAATTTCCAGTCATTTTATGGATGATGTCATTCATTCATAACTTTTTTTTATATTTTTTTTCTTTGGAATTTTTTTATATTTATTTTATTTTATTTAATTCATTCCTCACTGGAAAAACTGGTATTTCTTTTTTTTAAACTCGTAGAAAAAAAGTGTTACGACGACATCGTTATTCATTACTCATCGATCGATTTATTTCGATTTGATTATTTATATACGTTCGATATATCGAAATTAATATTAATTTGATTTGTTAGATGTTTGTTTAATTATGTCGAGAGTGTCTGAATATTACAAACGAACGCAAATAATAATGTTTGGATGTCTGTAGCGAGAGAGAGAGAGGGAAAGACAGAGAGAGAGAGAGAGAGAGGGAAAGACAGAGAGAGAGAGAGAGAGAGAGAGAGAGAGAGAGGGAAAGACAGAGAGAGAGAGAGAGAGAGAGAGAGAGAGAGAGAGAGAGAGAGAGAGAGTGAGAGAGCGAGAGGGGGGGAGTGGAAGAAGAAGAAGAAGAAAAAAACCAAAAATGACAAAAGTTTTTGTGGAAATTATTTTCGCCGATTAATAAATATATAAATCCGTTAAATTTTTTTTTAATACCGTTTTAAAATTTCGTTTTTTTTTTTTTTTTGAAAGCGTTCGCGAACGGTAAATCACAATAAAAAACATTTCGTTTGTTTGTTTGT